AAAAAGCAATTGTACCTTTTTTTTTTTTTTTTTTTTTAAACCAAAAAAAAGTTTTAGAAAATCTTTACGATATAAGTTATTTTAACAGTAATAAAGTTACGAGACGCATTCAGATACATCAAAAAATAATGACGACTAATAGGAAAGGTTCACGCGAGAGAATTATACTAAATGTTGGTGGAATTAGGGTACAGTATTACGTCACATCTAACCTTAATTCTCTATCAATGCGTTTTCTTTTTAAATAAATAATTAACTAATTAATAATAATTAATACATAATTATTAATTTAATAGTATGAAACCTATCGATCCACTTTTACAGCATATCCAAAAACAAAGTTGGGAATAATGTTCAGTGAAGAGAATAATACAGCATTATGTTCAAAAAATGGAAATGAATATTATATTGATAGAAATGGAAGATTATTCTATTGTATTTTACAATTTTATAGAACTGGCAAGATTCCATCTGTTGATAAAGGTATTTATTTATTTATTAAATTGTTAATTATTAAATTATTTCGATTATTTCTTGGGAATTATTACTATTATTATATTATAAATTTATATTTACACATTATTAATCTTTTTAATTCTTTATTAGTAAAATGTGCGATACCCTTCTAATATATTTGCAGATCATTTCCATATCGCGGAATACTCCTGACTGTAATACAATCATGATAATACAATCATGATAATACAATCATGATAATACAATCATGATTATACAATAATGATAATGCATAATCAATGTTTATCCCCTGAACGAAGATATTTTCGAGAAATTGACAAAATAGTATTTTATTTTTTTTTAAAAAAAACTTTAATATTAAAAAATTAAAGAATTAATCTTTAAAAAATTGGGATATATATATATATTTTACATACAGTACAAGAAAGATGCGAAGCAAATTCTTTATGCAAACATGATCTACAGAGTCATAATTATACATAAAAAATGCACGGTTTAAGAATTCTCGTGATGATTATCAAATTTTAAGTATTTTTTTTGGGAATTATAATTTCGGTGTAATATAAAGAATCTCCAATGTGTGTATACTCCAATTCTGGTTAGGACGAGAGCCATTGCCTATAGATTACTTAGTCAGGTTTAGACAGGTTTAGTTTATATATAGTAATAAAATTAAAAAAGGAAATTGTTGTTTTAATTAATCAAACTTCAAATTTTAACGAGATATTCAACGAGATAACTAATGTTTTTCGTTATGATAAAATTTATTTGAATGAATTTATTTGAATGTGTTTGTATTTAATATTTTGTAAAGTATTTGTAAAAGAATGACTATCGATATCAATATTATCAAATATTATCAATATTATCAATATTATCAATATTATTATGTTTTTATGTTTATGTTGAATATCCTTATTAATGATACATCCATCATCACATGATTTATACATATAATCATAATGTTTTTATCTAAAAATACAATATGTTTTGATCTAAAAATGATGATAATAAATAATATATATTTTTTTAACTTATGAAAAAATGTCTATTAATGAATTCAAATCGGTTATTACTTATAATGATATATGCTATTTACATAAATTACATAAATTACATAAAATTACATAAAATTACATAACATGTATATTTCTTCCAGAGAAATACAACCTATTATCCATATTATTCATATTATTCATATTCTTCATATTCTTCATAATCAAAATCATTCATCGTGACTAGAATATATCGGTAAAATTCGGGTTTCCCAGAACTTGGT